CCCCAGCCCCCCGCGCTGCAGGGCAGAGCCAGGGAAGGGGGGGGTAGGCAGCTCGCTCAGGGTGGCCCCAGCAAACTAAAATTAACTGGCTGGTTTCTGAGCGGGCTTTGGAAATCCAAACAGCTGCCTGTGCCCGGAGTTATTAAAGAAGAAAAAAAAACGGGCGGGTGGAGCAGCGCCCGGGTACGTTTGCAGAACGAGCTGATTGCGTTGTCGGGATGTTCATGTCCGTGTGCCATCGCCTCCCCCAGCGTGGGGGGTTTGGTTTGTTGCTGCAGCATGACCGTTGCTTTTTGCCGGCAGGATAAACGCTTTATTCATGCAGATCTGAACTTTAAGTGGGGTAAGGCAGCCTTTTTTGAAATGTCCATTGTTACCTAAGCAAAGAGGAGAAATTTTTAATCCCCATCTGCACTGCTGCAACCCCTTAAGAGACTCGAAAAGGCAGTAAAAAACCGTGAGTTCCTCTGTGGAAGCGCCCAGCCTGCCTGCTAGAGAGAAAATGGCATAGGTCAGGAGTAGGGTGTTACCAGCCTTGCCAGGCAATGCTGAGCAGATCTAGAGCTGGACCAATGTACGTCTGTCTGCTAAGCTCAGAAGCATGGGTTTTGCAGCATAGCTGTGTTTTGAGGTGCACCACCAAAATACGGGTTGCTGGAACCATCCAGCTTCTGGGACATGCAGGCAGAGCATGTTCTCAGCAGCACAGAAAGGGTGTGCTCGACAAAAGCCCTGTGACACTGCCTGCTTTTCCTTCACGCTGGCCTACAAGAGCCTGTGATCAAAGACAGGCTCCAGCCGTGTATTATTCAATTTACCCCATCCCTCCCTTTGAGGAGAGAGGTCCCCTGAACTGTGCTATCCAAATTCTGACTTTTACTCTTTTACTCAGAATAGTGCTCCTATTAAACAGCTAATCTGTACTGTCATCCGGGGCAGTTGAAGAGAGCAGAGTTTGACTCGGGGAACTCCAACAGCAATTGTTGGACAATGTGTCCTCATGCCAGTAAGACCATGGAGCTGCAGCTTTTGTTATGTTTGTTAAGAGAAGTTGACACTTACAAGCAGGCTTATTGAAATAAATTTACTCCTTTAAAAGTGGACATGTTTTTAAAAATAATACTGTGCTCTCTAATAATATGTACTGGCAGGACTAACTACTCATGGCTGTAACAGTTGCTTCTGGAAAAGAAGGAAGTCTTGTCTTCATTCTTACTTATAGCTGTTTGAGAGTGCCTTAGAGGAACTTCAGTTTTTCAATTTGTTAAGGCTTATTATCTGAATTCCTACACCTACTGACTTAAGCAGGTTTTTGTGATACTCTTCACCTAAATAACCTCCCATGGTACAAACTTACCTTAACTAGTCTGCTTTATTGTTTGTTCTTTGGCTGTTAGTAACCTTCAAAAAGATTATTCTTTACAGTTGTTTCTTTTTTTTTCTCCGTCTTTCTGTAACATTCCATGAGCTGTTGAGTCACCTATCTGCAATTATCACCTTAAAGCCTCTATTTTTCACGCTGGCTTATGTGACTGGCTTCATCTGCAAAGCATGTTGTGATATCCACTACGAAAATCATTGGATGAAAGGAAGTGTTTCACTTTCGGGCAATGACAGTGCAGAGAAAGTAAAGCAACCTTAAACTTTCTGCCACATGCATCACTCATTCTGATTTCTGTACCTAAAGAGACAAGTTCAGAGCTAGTAAAATTGTATTGCAAGGAACTATCTTTCACCAATAGGGAGACAGTGACAGAAACTATTCAGAGTAAGGACTGTCAAATCAAGTGGCAAACTTTAACTGGGTATTTATTTACAAGACAGGGCAGATGGCATCAGTGCCAGTGTGTTCTACTGGTCGTTGATTCAAACCATGGTAGGAATGAAAAGACGACTGGGAGCTCTGGTATGTGCTTTAAAAGCTGTGTGACTCCATTACACTTATGATGAACATCAAGTAGAATCAGTGAAGCAAAAAGAAAAAAAAACTGGAAGGGTAGGCAGAAAAGAGGAAGGAAGGAAAGCTGTATCCTAGATTATTTCTTAGGGAGATAAGAAGAGAGTAAATTTATCACATGGAATGATGCTGCTGGGCCTTCTGCATCCATGTGCAACAGGATTTACTAAGATGGAGGATGAAAGTCTCTTGGGCATGTTGCCAAATTCCCATTTAGAATTCTCCCACTAGGAGATGGGACACAATCACTAAGAGAGGCAATGGCAGTCTCAAAACCACAAATTGTGGCCTAAGAAGATCCCAGGCTGCTAAGTCAGTCTAGGATATACTGACAGCTTTCAGGGGACGATTAAAAAAAAAAAAAAGAAAAGCAGCAGCAAAATCCAGTATTCTGGAATGCAGGTTACCCCAAAGCATCCAGAATCTCTGTAAGTAGTATCAGCTACCTTTCAAAAGGCAACAAATTTGTGCTCATCTCCTGTTTTTACCTCAGTCTAAATTCACGAGCATTAGCCTGCAAAATTACTCAAATTCCCTCACAACAGGAGGGATTCTCATCAGCACATGAGCACAGGCAACCACCATTAGCCAGGTTATCAGCCACCCAGAACAAATGTGCTGTGCAAGTCTTCGCAGCATCTGAGAAATTGGCTATTGCAACCACATAGCAGTTCAAAAGGTTTTCTCTAAAAATCTCCTAACCACTTGTGTTCCGAGTATACGACATGGTCTGTTCACAAGCAAAGTCCTGGCAAGTCCAAGATACCAGGATAAATTTACAGTCTCAGGTATTGATACCAGGTCTGGATCTGTCTGACTATACTATGGTGCATAGGGAGGAATTGTTAGGAACAAACAATTATATGTCTTTTTACACATTTAAAAATAAATCCAGTTCAACTTCCAAGCTGAGTGAGGAGCAGCACCCCTACATGATGTCTTTTCCTGCTGTTTTAAAGTCTCCTTAAATGTTGCCAATATAATTTTCCTTGTTTCCTATCCCATCTGATAGAAAACTCTTCCCATGGGGGAAGGGAAATAAAAACAAAACACCCCCTCCCCACTCCACCACTTATTTTGGGCGCCTGAGGCTGAACGTTTTCAGATTACCTGTTGCAAGGCTTCCAGTCCTCCTTGCCCTCAGAAAAAACAAAGGTCATTACTTCCCTCTTCTTCCACCTGCTCGCAGAAACTTGTTGGGCCTCACCAGCTGTCCTGCTAACCAGCACTGCCAACACCCTGGTGCAGCGGCCTGAATTGTGAGATTTGTCCCAGTTACACTTAGTAAATAACTTCCATGACACATTTAACCTAAACATTTTGAAGCCTATTACATATAGTCTTACATGATCGGGCAGGCTATTGAGCTAAGAACATCAGAATTTGCACTCCCTAAAGCTTAGTGGGAAAATGCCAGGAGCCTGGGGGGAAATGATGCATTTGGCTGTTTTACATAATGATTTGCATAATTAGAAATAAAAGAAATCCACAGCATTATATCTGCTTGCATTTCTATCAGTCTGATAGATTACTCTAAATTGCATCTTGTCTGAGCTCACCAAAGAAATCTGGTCTTTCTGTAATGAGACGAGAGAGCCTGGTATTTCACAGGCAGGGAGTGAGGAAGGCAAGCCTCTGCCCCCCCCGCCATGGAGCCTTAATTTGAAATTAGATTGAAGACATAAGAAACTGA